TGTGAAACCTTCGTTCCTGCCCTCCAGAGCAGTGTGCTAGCGGGGGTTGGGCTTGGGAGAGAGGATGGGTGGTACTCTTGGAGAGAGCTGAAGTAGATTGATGATTCTGGAAGTGACCTCAGCAATGCCTGGATGTTGTGAATGCTCAAGGCCCAGCGCTCAGCACTGAATCATGGCGTGCTGCTTACATAGCCTCCATGGGCACTGAGGGGGCAGGAGAGAAATTCTTCTCGTCAGCCACGGAGCTGGGGACGACCCGCTGGACGGTCACATGGGAAGTAAAGGGCAGAGCTGTGATGAGAACTCCCAAGTTGTGATCCCCAAGCTGGGACTGAGGGAGCTGATACCCTATATCGAAGGAGGGTCAGAATCTACTTGAAGAGAGGGTGCGGGCTGCCGCCGAGGGGGTGTGGTTCAGGGGCCCGCCTTGTTTTTTCCTCAGGCTTACCTGGGGGAAGAACAGAACTACCCCTATTTATACAGCTTTTTAAGGTTTACAATATATCATAAGGTGGGCGGTATGTGTATTGTTCCCATTTTACAGAAGAGGAAACTGAGGGTCGGGTTCACCTTCCTGTGATCCTGGCTTTGCCACTTACTGCGTATGACTCTAGCATCCTAGGAAGGTAGATTCAAAACTAGAGGCTACCAAGTCTGGCCCCCTCATTCTACAAATAAGGAGACTAAATCACAAAGGGGTTATTTGACTTGCCCACAGTCATACAGGTAAGTAAATGACAGAGCCCGACCCAAGATCCTCTCACTTCAAATCCAGTGCATCATGGGGCTTCTCAAGTCGCAAAAGCAGCTAGGTGTCTCAGTGGATAGAACCCTGGGCCTGGAGTCAAGGAGATCTGAGTTCAAATGTGGCCTCAGACACTTAACAGCTATGTGACCCTGGGCAAGTAACAACCTCTGCTGCCTCAGTTTCCTCCTCTGTAAAATAGGGATAATAATAGCCTCTACCTCCCCAGGGTTATGAGGATCAAATGAAACAGTCTTTGTAAAGTGCCCGGCATATAGTTGGTGCTTAATAAATGCTTGTTCCCTCCTTCATAGGATCAGGACTAGAAGGGACCTTAGGGGTCATCTAGTTCCCCTTCATTTTACAGAGGAGGAAACTGAGGCAGCAGAGGTTAGGTTTCTCACTCAGGGTCACACGTCCATAGTTGAGGACTTGGACCCAGCCTTGCTGATTCCAAGTGTTATTTCCACTGCAAGGGCTACCTCGGGGTGTCAGCCTAAGGCCCTAACCCTTTCCTGGTAAAGATTGACCTGCCAGGCGCTTCCTGGGCCTCCTCTACAGACTGTGTGAGCAGCAGGGTTGTTAGTGAGGGATGGTGGGATAGCCAGCCCCACGATCCTTGGTGTTACCGGGCTAGATTGATGAGGGAAGGGAGTGGATCCCCAATTCCTCCATTTCCCCAGAGCTTGAACTTGACCCTGGGATTGGCATCAGACAAGGATTTGCCCCGGGTCTTTAGGCGGGGAGAGTGGAGGTGCTTAATGTGCACAGAAAGCAGAAGCTGCCACTGTGGTTCTTGACAGGGGAGGTAGAGGGGACAGTGGGGCTGTGGTCGGGGCTGGGCTGGAAGGCTGGCTGGCCGCGGGTCCCTACCCATGGCAATAGTACACAGGCGGCAGGAAGCAGCCTTCTGCAGAAGCGGGAAGTGGCTGGTTTTTGAACAGGAAGGGGGTGGGGGGTGGGGGCTGGGCTGTGTCGGGGGGGCGGGGTCATAGAGCCTGGATTGGGGTGTGGGGAAGCTCAAGAGGCTGGGACGGTCCTCGCCCCTAGAAGAGCAAGCTCCACCAGGGAGGGAAGGGGCAGAGCTAAGCTGGTCTGAGTAACAAGAATAGAGTACTCACAATGACCCTTGGACTGTGAGCGACAGCGATGCTTCCTTATATCCTCCCCCCCACCCTCACTGGACAGAATGCTGCCCACTGCCCCTGGCACCTGCTCCTGGCACCTACGGGGGAGAAGGGAGTCATGAGCATGGCCAAGGTGGCTTTGGAGGAAAGGGCTGGTTGGTTTTTTTTACCCACCATTACTGGTTCCTGAAATGCAGCTGCAGCTGGGGTGGGGCCCTTAGCTCTTTCCCAGCCACAGAAGCAGCCCTGGGGGGGTTGCTGTAGGACAGGAAGTATAGAGGGGTGGGGGGGGGGGGGGGGGGAGACAGGAGATAACAGCTGGAGCTGCTGGAGAGATGGCTGGGCTTCTGCACGGTACAGAGGTAGCAAGTGTGTGGTAGTCAGAAACCACACGGCTCATTGAGCGTCAAGCATCCTGGTGGCAGCCGCATGCCACGACGTTGCCATCCAAGGGCTGAGGAAGCGGAGCGATCCCAGCAGGCGCCTGGGCTTCCTGGGGGCTGGGGACACGAGGGGATTTCACATCCCGGCAGAGCGGCCCCCGCCGCTGAAAGAATCTTCTGCCCACAAGCTTCTGACATGGGCCCCTGGGGTTTTCCCCCACCCAAATTGGGGAGGAAGAAGCCTCAGCCATGGTGGAATGTAGATGGGGTTGGAGGTAGTCTTTAGAGAAAGGCTTAGATCTGGGTCGGAGTCCTTGCTCTCTCACATTAGCGGCCCCTGCAGGAGGAGGGGTGCCCCGCCAGTCACTGCCCAGGCTTGAGGTCAAGGCTGGCCGGTCCTGGACCTCCTTTGCTTAGGCCTCCAGCCCACACTTTACACCACACTTCAACTACCCTTCTAAGCTCTTGCCTAAGGTTCAGGGGATTGCCCCACTTATGAGTGCTCCTGCCTCCTCCGACTACCTCGTCTTTATTTCTCTGTGTACGTCTATCTCCTCCATCAGAACGTATGCACGCTAAGGACGGTGGCCGTTTCGTTTTCATCTTTATCCTCAGTGCCTGGCGTAGTACCCTGTGTGTTTGATAAAATGTTGGTTGGATTGAATTCTGGAACCCTTCACAGAGCCTGCCTGGGTTAGGGCCTTTGCCGTAGAAAGAGAGTATGGATGAAACTTAAGTCCTGAGGCAAAAGGCACAGGACAAGAGTCATTTTCAGGGTGGTCTACAGGGTGGGGCCTGTTCCTTGAGTTGGCTTAGCCTGAGCAGGTTGGCTGTGCCCTGTAGACTGAGCAGTGGATCTAGGCATGGGAGGCCAAGGCTGCCCATCCCTTCCTTCCCTGCTTGGAAGTATGGGTAGACCTTCTCTTTTACACTCTGACTCACTGGTAATGCCTGAGCTCCCTTATTTTTAGTGCTGTTGCTGCTTTGTGGCTGTAACCATTAGCTAGTAAGAGACTTATGTGAGGAGATAAGCATTAATCTCCTTGGGCCTTCCCCCTCAGCCCCTGCATCCCAAGCTGCCTTCTTGCCCACCCTGGCTGGGGCAGCCAGGCACCAGAAGTCTGTTCTAGGAGAGAGGGAGGGAGGGAGCGATGTAGGTAGGGAAGGAGGGAGAGGGGAGCTGTGTCTTCCATATACCCCAAGCCCACATGCAGGGGACATCCTGGATGGTTTCTCCACTTGCAGCTGGGGAGGCGTGGGCCCCCAGAGTCAAAGACACCTCTCATGCTGTAAACTCTAGTGCCTGGATCACTCTGGGCATCTCAGTTTGCCCCTGCCTGGGATCGCCGGGATGTTAGTCAGACATGGGAATGATGCATGTGCCCAGCCCTCCCTTAACCATACCCTAGAAAAACCAAGTGTGCTTAGGAACCATGCTGCACCTGGGGGCGGGAAGGGGCTGATCCAGATGAGCAGCTGGCCTGGATTAGCCAGGCAGCAAGGACATACTCCTCATCTCTGCCCTTTTCCACTCCTTCACGGAACCAGAGCCACCTCTCAAGGGTTTACCCTACCAGGGAGGAGCGCTAATACACCCAGTACCTTGCATTTATATAGCACAGGGGCTCTTTACCTCCTGGGCTAACTGATGGATAGGATGGCAGAGGGTTTAATGAAGCATGAAATTTTGAGGGTTTTTGTTTGTTTGTTTTGAGCTGGACATAAAGGCTTTTCCCTAGGGACCCATGTAAGCTCCTTGGAAGGGAAGGACTGTTTTGGTTTTTCTCTTTGTAAACCGTTCCCCTTCTCCCCCCCGTCCCAGGTCTGTATACATGATAGGTGCTTAATGAATGTTGAATTGAGCATCACGGGTGTTCAAGATCAGAGTTGTAACTAGAAATTTTTCCAACCTTGGAAAAAACAGTTTGGGGTGTGTGTGTGTGTGTGTGTGGCGGGGAGGAGGGTGGGATGAGCTATAAGGCTGTGGGTACAGTTTAGCTGGGAGAGAGATAGATGCTACAGCAATAGCACCCTGGGGTGCTGGTGGAAAGTGGGGTGGCCTGAGGGAGAGGCTGGACATGATGAGCAGAGGAAGAAGAATCTCTCTTCCTTTATACTCAAGTGCCACACAACAGCTAACATCCCAAGGGGAGGTGGAAATGGACCATAGGACCACAAATCCAGATTCTGAAAGGACCTCTGAGGCTATCTACTCCACCTCTTTGACTTCATAGATAAGAAAATAGACCCTGGGAGGTGCCCAGGAAGAAGTGCCAGAGGTGAGATTTGAACCCACACCTCCCGACTTCCACTGCACCATCCGTTCTCCTGCAGCAGAGTCACCTTTGAATCTTCAGCATCTCAGTCTTTGCTTCTGCCCTGCTTTTATTTGGAGCCCATTAGACTTTGAACTGGGTTGGGCTCCAGAGGGGCCCTTACATCAATCCCTCCCCAACTGGGCCCAACCCAGGCTTCTTCCCCCTGTCCATTGCTTCCTTATGTAGAATTGGAAAAAAGCCAGACAGATCTAGAATTGACTTCATGGAGGGTGAGATCCAGGAGGGGTGTTTAGACTTCTCTATGGAGAGAAATTATTCATTAATAAGGGATCAAATCTTCACTGTTCTCCGGGAAAGAGAACTTGTCTGGAAGGGGGAGCTGCTATGAAGTCCTGGCACAGTATCCTTTTGTGGGGGGGATGGACGGTTGAGTTGACAGCTTTTGTTTTTTCTCTTATGATTGCAGATCACCAGAAGTTAGAACGGGAGGCCCGAATATGCCGGCTCTTGAAACACCCAAACATTGGTAAGTGCTTTTGGGTACACTGGTTGTTTCCTTGCCTGTTTATGGAAGATGGTGGAAACAGTTCTGTCTTCTGGGGATGTCTGTACACATGTTCTTCCTCTAGCGTCTGGTTTGGCTCTTCTTACATGTTTAAAAAAAGGACAACAGCAGTCTCATTTCGAGTTATGGGATGCTCATAATTACAAAGTGCTTTTCTGCCTGTTGTGAAGAAGGTAGTGTGGAAAAATGCCAGGTTTGGAGTCAGAGAATCTGAGTTGAGTACTTGCACTGCCACTAACTAGTTGTATGACCTTGAGCACATTGTTTTCTCTCTCTGGACCTCAGCTTCCTAATCTGTAAAATGGGGGGGGGAACCCTAAAGCCCCTTCTATCTCTATATTTATGAGCCTGTGGTCCTGTTTGATCCTCACAACATTCCCGTGAGGTAGGTCCTATGGGTATTGTTATCCCCATTTTTCAGGCAAGGAAACTGAGGCTCAGATTTGCCCAAGGGTATTATAGCTTAGTCAGTGGGAAAAACCAAGATTATAGGATTGTAGACTTAAGAATTGTAAGTGATCTTAGTGGTCCCTCATTTGAGGTTAGGTAGTTTGCCTAAGGCAGAACCAGGACTCTAACCCAGGTCTTCTGCCTCTGAAGCTCTGTCTTCTGACTCTATATCTCGGATTGGGCCCTGCCAGTGAGCCACAGATCTGTCATAAGTCGGGGGCCTGAGCTCCCCAGATCCTTCAGGGCCTGTTCCCAGACCAGGGGTGTTTGTCATCTTGCTATTTATCTCCTGACTCACCTTCCCTCCTTCCTTAGGCTGAGTTCCCAGGGTGCTCAGTGTTGGAGGCAGCGGGCTAATTCTGCCAATGTCCCTCAGCAGGGGCCACCCGTAGCCACCTCAGATGGGTCAGGATTTTGTTTCTGTACCTGAAAGCGTTTTGTCTTTGCCGCAGTTCCATGCACACTCAAGGGGTTTCCATGGTGCCTGGGTTTGTGTTCCCCCAGAGCCAGGAAAGCAAGCTGCCCAGGAGCAACTTGGACTCCAAATACAAGGAAGGAGAAAAATTAAGAGTATTCTCTCCCCCCTCTTCCCCTCCCCCTCCCCCCTTGATAGGGGGAACAGGAGTAGATTGTCTGCCGTTACAAAGCCTGCCGAGTTTTGCCTGACACAACCCACTCCAGTTAAATTTTACATTGTTCAGCTGAAACAGTCTTTGGCAAAATCGTTGGCCTTGATTTGCTGCTCCTTGACAATGGGCCAGAAATTAAGCCAGCTGCCAAGTCTGAGCAGAAACCAGGGCCTTGTCTTGAGGGAGAGGCACAGGGGAGCATCTCATAAGCTTGGGTTTAAAAGTCCTCCGAAAAGGAAAGGAATTTTCCGTAACCATAGCTGAAAGACTTTGGGGGCTTCTATGGTGCCTTGAAGGCCAGGCCTCTGGGTTCCTGTCAGAGGTGAGGACTCTGGTGACTTGCTGAAGATTTACACCATCATGAGAATTCAGCGTCTTTCAGTAACTGGTCATTTATTAGTGCTGCAAAGCCCTGTGGTCTGGGATAAAGATAATAAACTAGCTGGCATTTATGTACTGCTGTAACACTTGCAAAATACGTTATTTCAGTTGACCTTCACAAGAACCCTGTAAGGACAGCACTGCAGGGATCTTTATCCTCATTTTACAGATGAAGAAACTGAGTCTCAGAGCTATCAAATGACTTGTCCAGGGTCACACAACTAGTATCTGAGGTGAGATTCAAATTCAGTTCTTGCGGTCTCTAAGTCTAGCACTCAATCAGTCAATCAACAATCATTTATTAAGCACTTTCCGTATGCCAGGAGGCATGCCATATAATATTATTCATTCTTATTCTTGATAATAATCTTATCTAAAAAAATAAATAAATAGATAAATAATCTTATCTCTCCTACTAGATTATAAATAGGGATCATCTTTTATTCTCCCCCAGCACCTGGCACAGTGCCTTGCTTCTAGGGGGTTCTGGGTAAATACTTACTGAGTAATTGCCCACAATTACACTACTAGTAAGATGTCTGAGGCAGGATTCAAACCCAGGTCTCCTCTGAATCTGAACCTAGCCTTCTTTCCACTGGCTTGTTAGAACTCTTTGATGCTGTGAGGGTGGTGAGCACCCACGTGGGTAATGGAAGGTCCCACTCAGAGCCGCAGGGAAAGGAACAGTCCTGAGGTAACCAGAAATCAAACCGTGCAGGGCTTTATAACTCAGAATCTTTATCTTGAGTTACACCCACAGCAGATTGGTGGCTCTGACTACAGGTTGTGCAAAGTTGTACTCCCTTTCCACAGAACCAACACCTACAAGCTGATAGGCCCTTGTGTTCTGAACACCTCCAGTTCTTGGGTGTTCTTTCAAGATAGGTATTCTTCCGTTCCCAACTTCCTACCCCTGAAAGGCCCTGGATTGATCAATCTTGTTTCTCTTTAATGGGAAAAGGGTGAATTCTGGGAATCTGGATCAGAGAACAATATTGACAGGCCCTTAGAAAGAAGAAAAAAGATGTTGTGGGCCTCCAGGGCCACCCAGGAGTACCAGCACAGGGTGAATCTTGGGGTACAAGCCTCAGGGTTGAGAGGTAGCCACTTCCAATCTCTGTCCGTTACTCCTTGAATGAAAAGGAGTGCATTTTGTAACTAACAGAAGACTGTGACATGTTGGATTTGGAGGTAAAGATCCTGGGTTCAAATTCTGGCTTTGTTACTTGTTACTGTTGTGACCTTGGGAAAATTACTTCACCTCCTCTGGGTCTCAGTTGCCTTATCCATGAAATTATTAGATTAGGTGGGCTCTAAGGTCCCTTCAGTCTCTTAAATCTTAGGCTCGTGAGCCTTCCCCCAACCCCCCCCCACCAAATAAATGAGTGAATGAATAAAGCATTTCATTATAAGAGCACAAACCATGCCACTTACCTGTGATGGGGTTTCCACCAAAAGGTCAAGGAAATATCATGAATAGTATGGAAAAATGGATAGGAAAGGACATGATGTGATTATATCTGGACTTTTTTTTTTCTTTACTATATTTCTAATCATTTTTCCTCCTCCCTTCCCCTGTCCCATACTTATAGAAATCAGATATGTGACTTGGTTTTAACTTAGTTGCCAGCTCTTCCCTTCCTCCCTAGAAAAAGACAGAGTATCAGTTTGTTCTGACATTCCCTGCCGTAACAGAGGCAGTGGGCAAGATGAGGATAGGCCCAGGATGGGCCCTTTGCAAGGCTAGAATCTGTGGGCCTGATGTGGTGACCCCATTCTAAGACTGCTCCTGGTGTTTTGTGCTGGTGGGAGGGATGTTGGCCTGGGGCTCTGTTCCTATGTGAATAGCTGGTGAAAGAGAGAGAGGGAGGGAAGGCCCGAGCCTGAGAAGGAGGGCCTGGAAGATGAGGCCTGGGCTTGGCTCCTCTTGGAGGTGTGGCAGCAGTGGCCGAGAGAGCCCGTGGGGACGTTGCCATGGATTCTGACCTGGCTTGTTGAAGGGGGCAGAGGAGGTGGCTTGGTGCCTCTTATTCATTCTTTCTTTCCCTCTGCCCCCATCCTCCAGGGTTGTGACCCCCTTGGCTCCATCCTCCCCCCCGACTCAGCCATCCCAGAGGACCGGATTGCACTTTGGTGCTAAAGAGAGAGAGATCAGATTTTCACCAACTAGCTGTCTTCAGACTCAGGCACCTGGTTTCAGCAGTTCTATTTGGTGGAAGGGGTCAGAGATTCACTTTCTCCTCCCTCTCTCTTCCCCACGTAGAATTGCTATCTATCCTAGGAGTTAAAACCCGCTGATTACCAGGTTGCTGAGCTCCAGGGACCCGTGGAAAGGAACAGTATGGGGATTTCTGAGAGCTGTGCCCAGTAAAGTCCGAATGGAGCATGCAGTCTCCACTGGCACCCTGGGGTCTGCCCTACTCCAATGTCCTGGAGTCTGTGGCTCCTTCTTGGAGCCTACGCTATTACGAAGGCTTCTCGGCTACGCCTGACAACTGGGGTCACCCCTGGGTATGCCAGCACCATTCCTTGGTAGAGCATTGGGACATTGATCAGGCCTTGGAAAGGACCTCAGAGGTCAGCTAGACCAACCAACCTCTGACTTTTGGCAGATCAGGAAACTGAGACCCGGGGAAGAAAAGTGACTTTCCCAAAGTCATACCGGGAGTGTCGAAGGCAAGATTTGAACCCAGATCCTTTGACTCTTGAGCCAGTTCTCTTTCCATTAAGCCACGCTGCCTCCTCCAGGGAAGGAATCCTCTATCTCAGTCTTCCCTTCTGCCCTGTCTCCCATTACCCAGTTCCCACTGTCTGCAGGAGGCCTTTCCAGACTCTCCCCTCACCATTCCTCTAAGATTACTTTCCATTTGTCCTGTATTTATCTTATACTATGGTTTTGGGGGATTTTTTTGCTCCTGTTGGCTCCCTCCTGAGAATCTTAACTCCCCGAGGGCAGAGACCTTCTATTTACTTTTCTTTGTATCTCCAGCACTTAGCTTAGTGCCTGGCATATAATAAATACTCTTGATGGACTCACCCTGGGGCCCATCCATCTCCAGATTATAGGATCTTAGATCTAGACCTGGCTGCAAACTCTAAGGCCAGCTAGACCAATCCCTTCACTTTCCAAATCAGCAAACTGAGGCCAAGGGAATGTGAAGTGACTTTGCCCGAGGTCACACAGGCAGTAAACTCGGAAGCAAAATTTGAACCCAAATCCCACTGACCATGAACCAGTCCTCTCTTTACTATCCTAGGCTGCCTCCCTCAGCTAAGAAAGAGACTTCCTTTAATCGCCAGGATTTCAATGTTCATTTCTACCCTCTCTGTCTTTACCCTGGGGTCCATTAGGCTCAAGATGAGTGTGGCAAGAAATGAAAATGCAGCAAAGGGAGGCAAAAACGCCTTGATTATACCTCTGGCTGAAGTAGTGCCTCTGGGGACTCCTGCTCACACCTGCTCAGAGATGCCAAGGCACTGTGGGCTTACCCCTACCCCTCC